GTGCTACCTTAAGAGGAATGTACATTTCTTTAGGAGTCCTGACCCCCGGGATGATATGGGAGCATATACTGGTAAGTTTGATAATATAGCTTTAGCACAGTGTTGTCCAATATGTCAGCCATGTGGCGAAATGAGAATCCAGATGTGGTGACTTTAAAAGTACCAAATAGATTAATAGACAGTCATTGGCATGTGATGTACTTTGCTTTTGTACATGTGGTAAAAATAAGATGCAGAGTGAGTTTTTTGAGTGCTTTAGTTTTTTGTTACGATTGCTGGGAGATGTGCAAGTACATGTGCATGTGAATATATTTACCTTTTTAATATGCAAATAGAGATTCCTGACTAAAATTAATGCATGTGGTTAAACTGTCCTGTGGCTAGTCAGTGATTTCTATTGGACAACACTGCTTTAGTACCAACTGGAAATGTACTTGTAAAGCAATGGAAACAATTTTATTTTTTTGGATCATTGATGACTAGATATGGCCATGGACCTGGTTTTGTTCTTTGATTATATTTGATATGATTGTTAACTAATTTCAAACACATCATAGCAACGCATTTTATTTAAAGTCTTGTAGATCAAATGAGCAAAATGTATTGCTAAAGAAAGGCACATTTTTGTGGAAGCTTTTTATCTTGTGCTCATCATGATAATTCGCAAAAAGTACCACCAAACTAAATGAAAAATGCCATTATACTCGGTGCTGATTGATTGGCACATGGACTCTGGTGAGGTGTTGCTATGGTGAATGCACCATACTAATGTACAGGACTCTGTTCTTTGCAAATAGAACATGTGGGCAATGTGCTTGTTCCAACTTAAAATGGATGACAGCCATTGCCCAGTTCTTTGGTCAAGGCATTGCCCTGAGGTATAGGCCAACCTGTCTAGTTTAAAATTTAAATAACGTTTGGCAGTTGACTGTCAGCCATTGTTTACTGTTGCATCTACCAGTCAGAATTCACTTGCCAACCATTTAGCTCTGTCTTATGCAGTTTAAGTGTTTTTGCTTTACTTTGGTATGTCATGTGAATTGTCTTGAGTGCAATTTGAAAAAACTTTCTTTTGCAGCAGTACTCAGTTCTGTATTACTAAATGAAAGTTGTGCTATTTTGTGTTTCTTTAAAATGGTTTTTAATTCAGTCTGTAATTTGTGAAATATTTTTTGGGAGTTTTGAACATAATGTTGTAAATTAGCTATGGTTGGGCATGTTTACAACATGGGAAATGTAGTAACTAATTGAAAAATATTTTCAAGACTTTTGTAAAATCATATGTATTAAGTATTTGGAAGTGGGACTTTTTAAATGTAAAATGTACCTAATTTGAGCCAATAGCTACAAGTATTTATTTTTATTAAAAGTCTCCTCCAGAGGACCACCACTGAAAAGGGGTCCGCCAGGGCGTGCAAATGGACCACCGCCTAAAAGACCCCTCCCTTCAGGACCGATGCGAAGCGGGGGAATGGGTGGAAGAGGAAGTGGGTCGAGAGGTAAAAATTCTCCCACTAAATTTGATTTTGGATTTTTCCAGTTTTCAGTTATGGAGTTTTGGTGACCTTTTGTTTTTCCTAGGACCTCCCTCACGTGAAAGGGACAGTTATGGTTCACCTCCATCTCGTAGGGAGATGATGCCATCCAGAAGGGATGATTATATGCCAAGAGATGATTATTACAACAGCAGAGACAGGTAATGCTTTTCACTCTAGAGAAGTGGATAATTAGAAGGAAAGGCATGACTTTATAATAAGTACAAGAACCTTAACTTGCTAAGCCATTTTGCAAATGTCATTTGAGGCGCTTGCCTTGCAAAGACGTTATTTGAATTAGTGCCCTTTTGGAGCTGACCTGTTGGCAGAAATTGGATGAGTGGTCTGTTTGCTGCAACAGATTTTTCAGTAGAATTGGAGTTTTCTAGTGAAATTGTTGCAGGAGCTGGAGGCAGCTAACTCTATGTGCCAAACGCCAGAAATCCAGTTTGTTATTGCTGGCCTGTCAATTCTAGATTGGAACATGGTCTAATAAATTCATTTGTTTGGTTTTAACGACATATCTCTGAAACACAAGTATGCAAATGTTTCAGAATCTTGAGCAAAAAAATAAAACAAATCCATTTAAAATTCCTTCAGGCTTTTTATACAGAAAAATTTAACCCCAAAGCATGCCTTGCATTTACTACAAAAATCCCTCGTGGCACCCAACAGCACCACCTGTACCTTGCACCAAGATGCTTTCTCTAACATCTTGACAGTTTACAGAAACTAACAACTCTTAGATTGGAAAAGTTGATAGCTTCTTTCAGCAACATTTTTAGGGTTTTATCCCAACATTTGCAGTTTGGAACTCTAACTGCTCATTCTTAAGTAATCTAGATTACCATGTTCTCCCCTTCTCAGTAGCACTGCTGTATACGTACATTTCCATTCAAAGATTTAACAGACTGGCCAAAATACAGTGAAACTGGTTTTAAAAAAAAGTTTTTCCCTCCAGTCTATGGGTGTTTCCCTTGAGTTATAAAAGACACCCAGCCAAGAATTATCTAACAGTAACCATGAGGTAAACAGCCCACTAGGCTAACAAAGTAGTCCTCTAACTGTTTTAAAAGAAATCTACTGAATTCTTTGGCTACAGAAAACTGCAGATTTTGAAAATTTGAAGTAAAAACAAAGATTTCTGGAGAAGCTCAGCAAATCTGGTTGCATCTGTGGAGAGAGAGCAGAGTTGATGTATGGGGTCCAGTGACCCTTCTTCAGAACACTTTGAGAGGGTCACTGGACTCCATATTAATGCTAATTGCTCTCAACAGATGCTGCCAGAGCTGCTGAGTTTTCTGCAGCAATTACTGTTGATTGGTTCCACACTCTTGTTAGGATGTTGAGAACTGAAGTAAATACGGCAAGTGCTTCAAGGTTATAGTTTTGGGCACATTCTGAGCAATGATGACTTCACTGGCAATGATTGTTTGAACTGATTTTAGCCATCATTCCTCTAAGAAGTTCTGAGCTTGGCATAGTTGGAATTATTTTCTTCTATCAAGTCTAGTTGTGGTTTGTTTATTTGTGCAGCTTTTGAATGTTAAATGCAGGTTTCTAAGAGACTTGCCTCAGTGCAGAAAGAAGCCATTCATCTCCTCCTATCTGCACCAACTCTCCAATTTAGCATACATTGACTGTCCACAGATTTCTTCACGCGAGAAGGATTTAAAGTTACAGGGCAAAGAAACAATTAATACAGGGGTGTGCCATAAAAGTATGACTATCTAATAGTCTTGTATGCCAGAGCGCTTTGTGCTGTTGACTAGGTGTTAGTGATTTTTTTAAAATCTTATGAATGCTGATTAAATGACTTGTAGAAAATTGATTACTTAACAATTATTTATAGAACACAAAGTACAGCACAGGAACAGGCCCTTTGATCACCTGTTGTCTGTGCCGACCATGATATTCCAAAGTAATTTCACCTGCCTGTATGTTGTCAGTATTCCTCTACTCCCTGCCTGTTCACATATCTGTCTAAATGCCTCCTTGAGCAGATATGATAGTCAAGTTCTGCCACCACCCCCGCAGTGTGTTGAGGGCATCTACTGACCTCCCTCAAAAACTTTTGTCACCCGTCTCCTTTAAACCCTTCCACCCCCCCTTATTTGATTTGAATTGCACTGCCTGATGGAACAGTGGATTCAAGTTCAGTTGCTGCCTCAAAATTGGACAGTGATTTTGAAGGAAAAATCAATTGGAGGGCTGTGTGGAAAATAGGACAATGGGACCAATTTCAAGAGTCTTGGACACAATGGATGAAATCGGAGGAAAGAATAATTCATGACTTAAACCAGCTTTTGCTTGAAATTGCCCAATAAACATTTTGTTGATAATTCTACTTTAGAGTGGTTCATCTCGTTCATTTGAGGTTGATGCCTGGAATTGGTCATGCACTCTCTGGTGACAGCATATGCTATTAGTTCTAAACAGTGATATATTTTCTTAAAATACTATGGATATCGTAGAGGCAGTTTTTTTTTCTTTTGCTTACTTGAGCTTTTGATCTCAACTTTTTGGACTAACTGTTTTGTGCCCTGATGTTCACTTTCTTCATCCTTCCTATTCCCAGTAGTTCCCTTATAATGATCATCTTTTACTTTGCAGTTATTCTAGCAGAGATTATCCAAGTTCGAGAGATTCCAGAGATTATGGCCCACCACCAAGGGACTCCTATAGTTCCCGTGAATATTCTCACTCCGGACGTGATGATTATGGCTCCCGCGGATACAGGTGAGGGCTGAGACTGAACTTGCAGTTTTGGCTACTAACTGGGCAGTCTAATTACTTTAAATAATTCCAATGGCTTGTTTCAATTTCAGTGATCGTGACGGTTATGGTGGACGTGAACCACGTGACTATTATAATGATCGCCCAAGTGGTGGCTCCTACAGAGATTCCTATGATGGCTATGGTAAGGTGGCAACTGATTGTGTAGTGTCACTATTCTGCTCAGTTTTAAAAGTAGTTAATTTTTGGTATAACTTAAATTTGGATTGTTTCATCTTGCATAAACTGTTCAGTGAAAAATGTCTTTGAACCTCAAGCAGTTTATTTCTACAGTGATAAAACCCAGTTGAAAGCAAATAACAGTTGAAATCCACAGCAAAACAAATGAACTACAAACAATGCAAGCTTGCTGATGAGCAATATCCATCAAACAAAATGCCTAGCCACTTAAGAAAATACATTTTCAACTTTAGAATCAAATAAAATCAGTAACATGTGCACACCAAAACCCAAAGGCTGGAAATATTTCTGCATAACCTTCCCATTCGTTTCTGGAAGAATGACAATGTGAGACACTACCAAAATGAGTTAGTCTTGCATTTCAAAAACTTCATTGCTTTGTCAAATGATCCCCAGTAATGGGAGCATCTCATTGCTGCATCTCTCAATGCCGCAAATGCGGTCAGTGTTTAAATAGAAATTTCAACAAAGCTGCAGTAAGTGAGTAGATCTTATAAAATGTAAGGAATATTTCAAACGTTTCCATATGACCTGACCATTGACCCTGCAGGTAACTCACGTGGTGCTCCACCTGCACGAGGGCCCCCACCATCTTACAGTGGAAGTGGTCGTTATGATGACTACAGCACCAGTTCTCGGGATGGATATGGTGGAGGCCGTGATAACTACAGAAGTGAGACTTATTCAAGTAGCCGCAATGATCGTGTTGGTAGGCAAGATAGAGGCCCAGCTATGCCAATGGAAAGAGGCTACCCCCCGCGTAATTCGTACAACAGCTCGAGCCGTGGAGGAAATCGTGGATCTGGGCGCGGTGGGAACCGCTATGACAGGGGCAGTGGCCGAAGCAGATACTAAACTGAACTTGATATACCATGGACCAAAAAAAGCCCTTGCTCTTAGTGGTGTTTTTTCCTTACTGAAACACAACAGACAAAATTTTGAGGTGAAAGGACTGTCAAGTGCTTTCCATGCAAGCAGATTTTGAAAACTTTAATTTTGGTTTGCTGTTTCATGTTAGTTTCTTGTTTTTTTTTTTAAAAAAAAGTCAGTTTGTACATTCTAGTGGGAATGGTGCAGAGACTGGTTAAAGATGGGGAAAAAAAAGTTAATGTTATAACAGTGCTACTGTCTGTGGCTTTCTCCATACATAAATATGGATATATAGAAATAGATCTTTCTTTGTTGCACCAGTGCTATTGTGAAATAAAGACTGAAACCTTTTCAGTGAAACCTGTATGTTTTTTAACCAAGCTCCTTTTGGGTGGGAAATGCAAAAGCAAATCATATTAGCCTGGTTTTTACAAATGGGAAGGAAAAATGTCCAGACAACACAATACACCAAAGAGCAAGAAATGGCGATGACCGGTCATTAACTGCCCAATGAAACGTTGCAATTTCAAAATATACCAGTTATGTTTCAGTCTCCTCCAGTTCCAGATCACCATTCAACCTCTCAACTCCAGTCACAGCTGACTCTGAAGCAAGCTGGTTTTTTAAAAAAAATCAAATCGTCAGCAGTGAGTATCTTTAAAAGTGTTTTGTTTTTAAGTTCTGGCTTAAAATGGATACAAATCGTAAATTTCCCAAATGTCGTTAAAACACTTTTATGACTCAATTTTCTGAAAGTGTAGTGTCTCACCTTTAAAAGGAATTTGCTATGGCTTTAAGAATTAAGCATCAAGACCTGCAATGGCCTGTCACTGTTCAAAAGTTGGAGACTTAAAGACAGTTGAATGTAGAACATTCTCAGCCGATTCAAAGTGCCCTTTTAATGTGAAAAGAACAACTCTGGTAAGCAACGCAACCTTATTTTGTTAACCTACTAAATGAAACCTGTGGTTACATAAGGAAGCACATCGTTCACCAATTAATACTCCATGTTGAATTTAAACAGAAAAGTGGAATTATGTAGGTAATGAGCAAACCATTTAAAATTACCTACTAAATGAAATACAATTACATAAGGAAGTGCATCGTTCACTCAACATAACTCCATGTTCAGTTTAAAGAAAATGGAATTGTATAGGTCCAGCAGCAAAATCCTTTTTTTTAAAGTTACCTACTAAATGAAACCTGTTTGCTTAAGGAAGCCCATCGATCACCAAATATAACCACTGTCCTGTTCGGTTTTTTAAAAATGAAATGGAATTCTGTATGGTATCACAAAACTCAAACCTGCAAAACAAATTTTCTGAACTACGTTGGACAAGCATTCAGCAGCAGCACTGGACTGGATGGCCTATGGAAAATGTAAATTGTGATTTATTGATTTTTAAAAAATTCTACATTTTAATGTAGACGTAACTGAATTAAAGGTAGTTGGATTTGTCATGCATTGAAAGCTAATGGGCGTATTTATTTTACAGGGTGAGCATAGAATCAAATTGCTTTTGGAAATAATGGAATTCTATGCCAGTTGGAGGTTGTACCCAAACCTACAAAAAATGAAGATAACTAACCAGGTACACTTAACTTTTGTGTTATGGCTTGTGCTAGTCTTCCACTGTATTCAAGGTAAGGTTAGAGTGACACAACACCAGGTTACAGTCCAACAGCGCTGCTCCTTTGTCACTTCACCTGAAAGCTTCTGATTTCAAATAACGTGTTGGATTATAACCTGGTGACATGAGGCTTCTAACCTTGCCCACCCCAGTCCAGACACTGGCACCTCCACGTCATGTGTTCAAGGTAGAGTGAGATGGGGAGTGATGGTGCAGTGGTGGGTGGCAAGAAAGCTTCACTATAGATTTTTTTTTTAGGATGGGAAGCCTGACTGAGATATTGGGTAGATGTGCCTTTATTGCGTAACGGTGTGATCATTGAGGCTGGGAAGTTTAAGCCATAGTATAAGCTCTTAAGAGCAGCCATTTCAAGTTGCAAAATTCTTTTGAATCTTGGAATTATTCAATATTGCTGAGTGTTCAACTTAATCCACACTAAAAGGATTTCTGGGATTTGAACGTGAAATGGAATTATTGTAGAGTTCAGCTATGTTTGCGCTGAACTGGTTTGACCATTCAGGGAGTATAGTTTACTTGTTAACAATAATGAAATGCTGACGGCTGTAGTCAAAGATCTTCTAAACAGGTGTGGTTTGCACAGAAATTGAGCAGGTTCCAATCCTTTGGAAAATGGTTGCAGTTAAGCTTCTTGGGATTTGCAAGGAAGTCAAAATACTGAGATGTGAAAACTTCTTCCTAACTAGTCAGATAAGAGGGACTGACTGACTGACTTGTGGCTTTATTGTAGGCATTGGAGGTTTTCTTTTCTTCTGAAACTGAAATCAAGTGCAGAAAAGCTTGCTAAGCAACCACCAGGCATGAGCTACATTGTCCCTTCCAAAGCCAGCTTTTCCAATAATCAGTCTATTGACCCCATCTCCAAGGTTTTCTTGGCTGATTTTACCAATTTTGAAATCAGTTGGTGGATCACAGGCCATATTAAACCATTGACCTAATTCCCTAGAAACTGCATGTCTTCTCCCATGATAAGAAATGCTGGATTAAAAACAGCAGTGTCCAGATGACTCATTACTTTACTTTTCAGTTTTCACATTGTCCTAAAAGTGATAACTACATATCTATATGGACTATGGTGATTTTACAAAACCTCATTTGTGCCAATGCTGAGACTGCTTAATTCTACCACTGGCATCGTCCCAGTCTTGTTCAGATAATCTGAAGTCCTCATTCTTGCCTTTGTTTCCTATAGATTCAAGTACTCCAACAGTCCTGGCTGCTGTCCAATGTTAACCTAACTTGAGATCATTCTAAACCCTGCCCTTGTCTTAACTTGTATCAAGTCCTACTGAATCTTGTGTTTGCCCATGTCAGTTCCCATGTGAGCAACACCTTCCTTTTTAAAATTGTTTCTGTGAAGCACCCTGGGAAGCTTACATTTAAGTCCTGTATGAATAAAACTTTAGTGTGAAATTTGATTTTTGGTACGCTTCAAAGAATATTAAAAGGCTGGCACAACAGACCGATGTGGCATGTTAAATTCAATAAAGATGGAGTGGTAGTTTTTGGGAAGGGAGAATGGGGAGAAATGATCAAATAAATAGTACAATTCCAAAGAAGCTCTGACTGAGCTGACTGCTTCCACACCTTGGAACTAAAACGTAGGCAGTACAGTTCAGGCATGTGATTAAGGTATATTGGGCTTTACAAATTGAAGTGCAAGTGTACAAAAACATGAACTCCTTTGTCTACATGCTGGAACCAGATTTAATCATGGTGTAAGGATGGACAGATGGTGGAGGTCTCTGCAGTGGTAGAAGTTAGAGGGAATGCAAATCATGCTGAGTGAATTTACTGCGTAACAGAGTCCAAACCAAATTCCTAGACACCTGAGCATTTGGTGCTGCAGAAGTATGGGATGGAAGAGATTCAGGACCTTTTTTTTAAATCTCTGCCAAGATGGCAGTTAATATGCTGTAATATGTATTAATTCCACTGGATATGGGGGAGTATTGACTATTCTTTGCTTCTAACAAGAATTTATGGCTATCTCTATGAACAAATGTTTGGCATGGTCAAGTTGGTAGGGAGGTGGCCATGATGTTATAACTGAAACATTTACTGTTCTTATGAGCCCATATCCTCCTGGAAAATGGTAAGCAAAGTTTGTGAAAAAGATAATTGGATGCCATTTGTATCAACAAAAGAATTCTGTTCTAAGAGGTTTTAATAAACTGAAGTCGTTGTTTAGACGTTTCAACTGTTAAGATGTAATCTTGACTTGTTTTGCAGATCAAAGTAACATCTGGATTGGAATAGCGTGGTTGTGAAAGAACATGCAACAAACTATGTAGCAGTATGGTGTTTGCAGCGTTGAGTTTTTTGAATAAAATCAAAGCTTAAATGCTCATCTGATTATGAAGTGTATATTTTTGCCTAACTTGGGTCACTACACTTGTTACAGCATCTAGTAGATGTTAAAGAACAGGCAAATTATTCTAACTGCTACAGTGATGAGTGGAACTATGAATATTTACAAACATAGGCCTGTTGCATAACCTGAAATGAGTTTAGATGAGGCAAGTGTGAAGAAGCTCATGAAATGTTGATGTCAGCATGAACTAGTTGGACCACATGGTCTGTCTCCATGCTACATATGAAGGGCATTGACTTAGTAATGCTGAGGCTATTACCTCTAGCTGCAGAATTTTTTTAACAATCATATAATCTCTCATCTAACCCTTGAAGTTTCTTCTCCCCACTCCTTTCCTGTCCCAGAGGGTTGTTGAGCTCAGTCATTGACTGTGCCTGGGCCTATTGATTTCAAAGTTCAGTTTGCTGTTTTGTTCTGAAATTGAAGTAATTAAGCCTCTTTACTATTGCCAGAAGGGTGCTGGCAAATTACTGCTGTCAGTTAAGTCTCAGTGTCAATAGGGTAGTGAATGAACAGGTTGTGCACCTGAGTTTGCCAGGACCACTGTGTTCCAGACCTCATTAGCCTTGTGACAATTGTGCAAAAAAAGCTAAATTTCAAAAGTCATGGGATGCCTTTAACATAAAGACAGCATTTTGCAAGAGTGACATAAAGGAGCCTGAATGAAATTGATTGGAATTAGATGATCTCTTGGGAGTCCATACTTTTTTTCCTTTAAAAAAGGAAGATGATTGGCTTTCCACTAACTGCATCTGCCTGAGGATGTGGCTGCTGGAGGTCTTAAAGCCAAGTTCTCAGTCAACTTTTAACTGCTTCAGTTAGGATGTTGTCAAATGTGGGTATGTTTACTTTTTCTCCCACCAACTGTTTGGATGTGGAAGCTGTGCTTTAATGAAGCAGACCAGTACAACCGCTCTGGTTTCAAGTTGATTGTTGAGTGTGCCACAAGTTCCAGTCAATGACCAATAATAAAGTTCTTGAACACTCTTTGACACTCAATACCATTGCACTGTTGAACGCTCCTGTGAAAATCCTGAAAGGTGGGCTGGTCAGCCACAAATACAGAGGATGTGTTCTTGGTCTTCAATGGATGTTTTGAGTACATAAAAAGAGGCTATACTGATCTTTATGCTCCAATTCAGCCCTAGCTAGAGTATTGTTTCATCATGCTCACCATCCAAGGACTTTCTTCTGTCCTGTGGAGGAGATTTAACACAATGGTTCCAGGTTGTGAAATTTTAGTTAGAGTTCAGTTTGAAAGGATGGATTTATTCCCTTGAAGCAAAGGAGATTTGATGTCAGATATTAGAGTTAACAAAGTAAAGTCATGAACTGATGGTGCAGCAGTAGTTATACGTTAATTGTCTTTCAGCATTCTTTAATTTCAAAAGAAAATTGAATGGGAACCTAAAGATAAGCTTGCCAGTCTACAGAAACATGCAATGAATGGAGCTGATGGATTGCTGTACAGGAGAGCCAGCTAGGGGTCTTTGGGCTGATTTTTTTTTTTTTGACTAGTGTTGTGATTACTCTTAAAAGAAGTCCAAGTATTGTCTATAGGTGTGATGCTGGAAAAGCACAGCTGGTCAGACAGCATCAGGAGTAGGAAAGTCCATGTTTCGGGCCACAACCCTTTGTCAGGACCAGGTCCTCTGCTGTTGACCTGTTATGCTTTTCCAGCCTCTCTCATTTTATAGATTTTTGGCTTCCAGCATCTGCAGTCCTTTATTGTCTCCAACTCGCCTAAAATCTACTGACTGCTAAAATTGTCCTAATATGCACAAGGCACATGTGTTACGGAATCCTCCAACTGCTTGAATGATTGCAAATCAAAAGACTAGATCCTCAATACCTTCAAGGATAAGCAGTCTGGTGGCTCAGCATTCCTTGCTGTATTGCATAGCATCTACAGAAAGCACTGCAGCATCTCCTAAATATGGTCTATTGCATAGAATGCAATCAATAACTCCTAAGTACCACACCATTTTGATATGAGCTAGGTTTTTCCAGTAGGGTCTTCTAGCAAGACTCTCAGTTCTTGAATTCAAAGTCCCATTCAGATCCAAATCTGTTAACACCTCATTGTTCTTAAGCTGTAGTTGTGGCAAATGGAAGTTTCTAATATTAGAAATTCCCATGAGCTATTTGACAGGAATAGAATGGTGGTTTTTTTTTTTTTTGAAAGTCTATAGTTAAAAAGATGCTTACCCCAAGTAAACAGGAATCTTAATAGATATGTAAGTGAAGATTAATATTAATTGAAAGGAAATTGATAATTTATGGGTTGGGGCTAACTTCAAATGTCATCTTGTTTGGAATACCAAAATATGTCATCTTTTTGGGTTGTGTCTGTTCACCATAGTGCATTTTAGTTTGTGGCCATAATTCAAATGCATGGCCTGTACTGATATTTGTTTTCAAATAAAATGTTGATTAAAAGTGTCTTGACTGGAATCTCTTTGCAATCAGTTTGACTTAAACTCTGAATACTCTCTTCAAGCCAGATTTTTTTTTATTATTATTAACTTTGCGCAACTCAAAGCATTCCATATGTTTTTGACTTTCCTTTTGTATGGACTTGCTTCACTTGACCACTCAACTTCTAGCTTGCTGGAGCCTAGGTGTCAACCTGCTGAAGCTGTAACACAGAATTACTTTCACGTAAAAGTGAAGCGGCATGTGATAGAGTAGATTTGGTCCTGTCACTCCGGCTATATCCAGCCATGACTAGTCACAAAGTCATATACTGCTGATGTAGAGTTGAAACTAAGAGGAAGATGCTGAATGAAAACTTATCCTCTATGGTGATGGAGCTGTGCACATTTGTACAAAAGTTAAAGCATGTTCACTCCATGTGATATCCCAAGAAAAATTTGGGTACTGGCCACTTTCTCACAAAACTATCGAGGCCTTTGGTTAGGAGGACAGCTCTGAAGTACAACTACTGCAGTCATTGCAACACTGGCATCAATCCAACAGTGGGAAAAATTGCCCAGGTATATTCTGTGCACAAAAGGCAGAACAAATCCATCCTGGCCGATCACTACTCATGTTGATTCTGTCATTCGCAAAGTGACAAAGGGATTGTTGATGTTACTATCTAGTGGTGTTTATTTCATCATCGCATTGAGCAAGTTGAGTTTGGGTTGTACCAGGGAAACACCGGTTTCTGATGTTATGGTCTTTATCAAAGATGGACAAAAGAGTTGAATTCCGAAAGTGAGTAACCTTGACATTTAAGGTATGATTTAATCCAGTATCCTTCACCATCTTTCTTAAAGAATCTACTTCAAGGTGTTTCCACAGACTTAAATTTTTTTGCAATTGTTCAAAATTTGTTTTTGAAGAAATATTAAATATTTCATAACATGTCAGTTCTGGGATAGCACTGCAGGAGTTGCTCGGTATAGTATCCCAGGCCCGACCACTTTGGCTGCTTCAACAATGATTAGCTTTCATAATGAGGTCAGAAATAAGGATGATTATGCCATCAGCAATGTTCAGTCTTCTTCACAATGCTTCGGATTCTAAACCAACCTAGACAGTGCCAGGCAACGACTGTCTCCAGCAAGAAATAACCTATTCATCTCTCCTGAATGTTCAACGCTATTACCATCATTAAATTGCTTGCTGCCAACATCCTGAAAAACAACCACTTAAACTACCTACAAGGGCAGATCAGAGGTGAGGGATTCTGCAGTGTGATGAAGGTTCATAACATTGTTGGACAGCTTTGTTTAAAGTTATAAAGAAATGTAAGATAGATTGAGAGTAAACTAGCTCAGAATATAAAAACAGCCAGCAAAAGTTTCTATAAATATGTAAATCGTAAAAGAGTGGCAAAGGTAAACATTGGTCCTTTAGAGGATGAGAAGGCTAATTTAATAACTGGGAATGAGGAAATAGCCGAGACATTAAACAGTTATTTCGTGTCGGTCTTCACAGTGGAAGACACAAATAACATGCCGAAAACTGATGGCAAGAAGGTTATAGCAGGCGAGGACCTAGAAACTATCATTATCACTAAGGAAGCAGTGCTGGGCAAGCTAATGGGGCTAAAGGTAGACAAGTCTCCTGGCCCTGATGGAATGCATCCCAGGGTACTAAAAGAGGTGATGGGGGGCTAGCAAATGCACTAGTAATTATTTACCAAAATTCACTGGACTCTGGGGTGGTTCCCGCAGATTGGCTGTTTTCCAATGTGATGCTACTGTTTAAAAAAGGAAGTAGACAAAAAGCAGGTAACTATAGGCCAGTTAGCTTAGATTCAAGCATTTTCTCCACTAACGAAGTTATCATTAAGGAAGAAATAGCAAGACATCTGGATATAAATTGTCCTATTGGAAACACCCAGCATAGGTCATGTTTAACTAATTTGGTGGAATTCTTTGAGGACATTACTTGCAATGTGGACGATGGGGAACCTGTGGATGTGGTGTATCTGGATTTCTAGAAGGCATTTGACAAGGTGCCACACCAAAGGCTGCTACATAAGATAAAGTTGCACGGTATTACAGGTAATGTATTGGCATGGATAGAGGATTGGTTGACCAGTAGAAAGCAAAGAGTAGGGGTAAATGGGTGTTTTTCTGGTTGGCGGTCAGTGGCTAGTGGTGTGCCTCAGGGGTCAGTGTTGGGACTGCAATTGTTTACAATTTACAATGATTTGGAGTTGGGGACTAAGTGCGGTGTGTCAAAATTTTAAACGGTAAAAAATTGCAGCATGCTGCTGTGCAGAGGGACTTGGGTGTCCTTGTACATGAATCACTAAAAGTCGGATTGCAGGTGCAGCAGGTAATTAAAAAGGCAAATGGAATTTTGTCTGCCTTTGCTAGAGGGATGGAGTTTAAAAACAGGGAGGCTATGCTGCAGCTCTATAGAGTCCTGGTGAGGCCACACCTGGAGTACTGTGCAGTTTTGGTCTCCTGAATTGAGAAGAGATATACTAGCACTGGAGGGGGTGTAGAGGAGATT